AAAATCTACTATTATAGACAAAAATATAAACAGTCCTATACTTGTAATGTGTATTTTTTATACTTGTAAAAACTTAATTTTTCAATCAATACGACTAATACGAGTAAATGAACAAGAACAATTTTTTTTAGGACTTATGTAGCTACTTTTCTTAGTATTGTAATTTTTAAACAGCGTTATGAATTAATTGGATATATTATATTTACATAGGATACATCCACACCAGAAGTAACTAGGTACAGTGAAACCTGACTTAACAGACAAAATGACCAGGTCCCGGCAAAAAGATAGGCATTCTAATGTATTTCGACCTGTCTATGACGGACTCCTATTACGGACACGGACACTAATATTTAATCCATTTTCATAACGGACAAAAATACATACATATACTACCATTGATTATAAATACTATATATAACCTTTATAATCAATGCTCCGTACACAGTACACACGTACGGCCGTACGGGTACGACATAGCTAATGTTTTCAAATCTTGGCGGTCAAGGATATGACCAGTGTAACTGTAAATAGCAATGCAAGACAAATAAATGTAAATGTAGGGGTACAGGTAAACTATGTACTTCTAAATGTCATAATAGCTTAAGTTGCAAAAAAAAAAAATAGTTAATATTCATAAAATAAATGATTGTAAATTATTAAGATAACAAAAATTGTTTTATACCATTGTAATTGCCCACTGTGCTCTGGTCATTCTGTGCAATGCCTGGGCAAAGTGTATAATTGTCCACATTATCCATTGAAATTTGGCATTGTATATTTGTATTTTGTATACATTGTCCGCCATCCGGGCGTTGTAGTACAATTATACATTTTGACCGTAACACATACATAATATGATATATTATATTATATTTATAGGAATATATTTTAATATAATAATATTGTACAATAAAGAAAAATAATAAGTGCTTATAAATTTAAAACACATACACTTTTACATTTTATTCAAATACTAATTATAGATGTAGTACCTACCCAAGTAGGACTTTTACTGCCCGAAACCGTGATGAGTGATGACAGACACACACAAAAAAAATATAAAACTTAAAACAAGTTGTTTTCTACAAAGTTTCTTTTTAATTTTTTTACAATTATAAATATTAATTATGGTTTAAAAAAAAGTAGTCATTTTATTATAGTTTGGTATAAAACTTATAGTATAGGTATATAAAAAAATGTTTGCTTAAAATGAATTAAATGAAGAATGGTGGTAAAAATGATAAAATAGTTTTATAATAAATATTAAATTTAAAGAAGATTATGAAAATGTGTAGAGTGTAGAGATTGTCAAAAATTATTTTTGCCCCCACGTGATTAGAGTCCAAGTTACGCCTATGCCTTTGAGGGACTTGGTCCGCTTTTACCTAAGCTACGTTGTAATACACAGAATAGGGTCAAGTGTAAATAATGTACGATTGCACTTCCTACTGCATGTGCGATATTATATCATAATCTAACGTCGGACGGATCACTATTTTAATATTATAAATTATAAATATATAATAACACGGTCATCCAATCGCGGTTGGTAAAGAGCGTGTAGTGAGGCCTTCAAAAATATGGTAACAAAAACGTGCCGTTCGTCGCAGAAGCAAGGAATGTCTCGTAGTAATATTATAATTTGTTTATCGTTTGTGTAACCACTAACCAATATTTAAAGAATTAAATGTATTATGTTGTAGGTATATGTAACAATATGTATCGTGATCCGCGGGCAGATATTAGGCTGACACCCTCGAATGAAACAAAACGCCCAGGGTACATCAGAAGAATATATTGTATGACATTCAACAGTTCAGGCAATGGTCGGATCGGCAAGCTGCCCAGGAAATCTCGGTGGGCCAGTGGGCCACTCAAAATATGGGCCAGTTATGAGTGTTAAGTGGTAACTTTTTCTTTTTATTATAATGAGAAATGAGTACAAACATGAGTATAGAAATATATAATTTAATGAAACTCAGTGGGCCTATACCATGACTATCCTGTTACACCGTGACCGACTCGACAAAGGACGAAAACGCAACACGGCCCAACACGACAGTAGTATACCACTAAACCATGGTATAAGGGAAGCGTGGACGGAAAAGAACGGATTACTTGTCATTGCATGAGAACGGCGTGCAAGAACACAGCGATACGGAACGCAAACAAACGTGACATACCACATTCAAGATGATGAAATGTATAAACTCGACAGTAACACTCAAGGCGGAATGTGCCACAACAAAATACGGATGCACATTGAAATTAAGATGACACTTACGGCTAAGGCGGACATGTAACAAAAACGGCCATAAGCCGTCAGTGTAATTGATAAAATAATACGTGATGCTATACAACAACGACTGTCGCGACATAGCGACATGGCTGACACTTGGACGCACACGTGGTCAAGGCAGAAGACGGGACATGAGTACATGACAGGTAAATATATTAATATTATATAGATGTCGTTGATAATGACACTTTGGCCGGGTGCAACGGCGGGTTCGTTTTAGTTCAAATCCGCGATGACGGGTGTATCACCAGTCGAAGTCATGTGCACTGCAATGCCTGCGGTGAAATCACGACTTTCCAACTTGATTTTCGTCGGGCCTGCATATTTCAGCTCATTAAAAACTATTGATTCACCCAGTTGGCGGAGGACAGTGACCGGATGTACATAGTATATACATAACATTAAAACTATTATTAAAGTTAAGAATGTGCACCTTTGGGCCATGCTCTTGTAGCGCTGTCGTCCGACATTTCTACCTCCATAATATTATGTACCTACATGGCTACAAATCGATACCCGATGTGTGACAACATATATGTGCATTGACCATTGATTATATTTTTATGTTGAACAATCAACAAACATGTTCTTATATGATTTCATGAACAACAACAATGATTGTAGTTCTTTAGTTGTGATTTTTCCTAATGATTATATTTATGTTCAAAGGTTCCTTCCAGCTCCCGAAAACATTCCATAAAAAAATTATTTCTGTTTTAATACCTTTTATAGGTAATTTATAGTTATACCTATGATTTATTTTTATAACATTACATTTTTATATATTATGTATAATTGCCAAGTAGTTTAATTTATTTATCCTTTATTAAATTTAAATAATGCAATTTATGAACCAGAAAATATATGTTTCTATCTCAATCGTCTACAATAATTTATAGCTATTTTTTATAATGTTTGATACAGTAAAACACTGAAACCTGTATATAACGGACAGTCACGGGACCAAAATAATTGTTCGTTATAGACAGGTGTCCGTTGTAGACAGGTTTCAATGTTTTAAAAATTAAAATTTTTATGTACATTTGCATTGTTTCATATTTTATAATATGTACATATTAGGTATAATCTTTATGAATATTATACACATACATTCTACATTCATTAAATTAAAAGCTTTAAGAAATTAAAGCTTTAAGCGGCACGGGATTAGGCATTGCTAAGGAAAAGATGTACAACTCCGACTGCGAACCGATAGAAACTGAATAAAAACGTTTTTTATAACGTCATTTATACGTATTGCATTGCCATGTATATCTGGATATCTTGGACAGTATAAATTCAATAGGTAATTAGCGTTATCGTAATCGATAATGTAAATGGTCGTAATCCGCGTTTTCACTGAAAGACCTAATTGCGTTCCTTATCGACGCTGTTTATAATCAAAGGTATGGAGACAACATAGTATAAACATAGATTTTGACTGATTACTGATTCTGCTATAAATAAATGAATATGGCTATATTGCCTATTAATAAGCACCATAATAATATGTGGAATATGGTATTATCTTGTTTTCATAATTTTATTATACAATAATATTATTTTTATGTGTACGGTTTACGAATAACCAATTTCCAATTGGTCATTAGCGCACAGGCACAATCAGTTATACTATTACAACATTGCATGTATAGCCCCCTACGCTATTTTACACTATTGTAATATTTATTATCATTCGTATCGTGTTCGCTGTTGTCTGCTTCACGTTCCTACTTCCTACAGATTGTTAATAATTGTATTGCATCAACAGTATACTCTTGTTTTCATTGTTTAAATTTTTTTAAATTGTAGTACAATGAGTGATTGTGATTCTTCAACTGAAGTCGATCAGGTTGCAGATTCGGAAGAACCAATTTTACCCTGGCCAAATTATCTAAAATATTTTAAAGTATTAAGAGTCATTGAGGATAATTTTTTTACAAGAAACTGGCAGTGAAGTGCTTAAGTTGTGTCGGTACAAAGTGTTACAAGGTGGATTCACGTTCAAACTCTAATAAGAGAAAACATTTAAGTGTAAGTACAATGTTAATTTCATACCTACCTATGACAGTTGACCCATATAATATCTTGTGTGTTAAAATTACTTTTAAATACCCCACAAATATCTAATATATTACAAAAATACATCAAAAACAGTGGCATTCAGCTTTTTAAAAGTCAAATTTCAAGTGCCTAAGATGTATCATAGATCTCATTATTCTATATTATGAATTTTCCTGGGCCCCACACAAGTCATCTCAGAGGGGCCCAGTATTCTTGTGTATATGAAATAAAATAAAATAAATAACCCCCTCCCCCCTCAAAAATAAATCTCAGTTGCGCCACTAATCAAAAAATGTAAATTATTTATCAAAACTTATAATGTTAAGTAAAAGGTTATATTATTTCATTTTTTTCAGACACAACATTCAACTATATTAAAGAAAATTGATCACGTTGATAATGCAGCGAACAAAAACACTTTAAAGAGATGCAATGATGGATCATTGAAGCATAATGCTGGTAGTTCTTTAAAACAATCACATAAAAACAACCAGTTTTATAAGATTTTTTGAACAGCAAAAGATTAACTAGTCAAAGTAAGAATGTGTACTGTTTATTTTTATTTTTTGTTTTATTAAATAGTTTTTAGTTGCAGCATTAACAAAAGTAGTTGATATTTACATGACTACATGACTATATTATACTGATACATTGCTAGTGAATAATACGGTTGTTGATGATTTAGAAGGAATCGACGCAATCAACTTGTACATTCTAAATGATGAAGACCATGATTTGCCATATGTATTACCAAAACACCACCGATGTTGTGCACACACAATAAATTTAATAGCAACAATGGTAATTAAACATTTATTTAAGTAGATAACCTAATATAGTTAAATTATAAAATACTTTTTTTTTTTTTTGTTCTTTATTTGAGTTAAACAATCTATACAAATTATGTATAATAAGCTTAAGTGATAACAATTAAGGTTACAGCCCACTGGCGACACTCCAGGTCAGAATCGTAAGATTAAATTATAAAATACTAAAATTATTTTTATCAAAAAGAATATATTTTGAGTAAGTATAGTGATCAAAACTATTAGATAGTAGGTTTAACACTTAATAATCATAATCAAATTTGTATGAGTTGTAATACATTTAAAAGTTAAATTTTTTTCAATTTAAATGATAAAAATATATGAAAAAAAATAGTCTAAGATATAAGTATGAATATAATCGGCATTAACTATTTTCTATGATCCATACCCAAATTTCAATTTTAAATATCAATATATTATGTTGGTTTAATTTTTATTATTAATTACAAATTTGTACAAATTAAATACAAAATAAAATAATTATTTATATAACTTGTTTTTTTCTAGGACTTTAAAAAAGCTTTATATAATCTTGCATACAAACAACAGTCAAGAAGCACTTTTTCCAAGTCTACTGCTTTGTGGAACAAAGAAGGTTGCTCTACTAAGTCAGTTGATTTAGTTAAACAAAATCTTGGTGTTTATTTAATTACACCCAACGAGACACATTGGAATTCACTGTTTGATGCAGTGGTGCTGCTTAATAAATTAATTAAAAATAATGAACCTAAGTTTAGAATATTAATAGACGAATTGGCTATTGGCAGGTAAATTGTAAATCCTAAAATATTATTAATTATTTTATCTAAATTTTTTATGATTATTTCTAGATTTGATAGAAGTGATATTGATTTCATGTGTCAATATCAAACAATTATATGGCCAATTTCAATAAGCTTGGATTTACTCCAGGGTGATACCAACATGTACTTTGGTCATCTCATATCTACAATTGAAGGATTAATTTATAAATATGAATTAATGACAAGTGATCAAACAGTTTCTAATTACCTATATGAAACTTCTGGTGACTGCCATACTTAATGGTATGTAATAATTAATTTTTTTTAAATACATTAATCTTATTTAGCCAAGTACATGCTTAAATTGTACACATTTAATTTCTTTTTATTTTAGTTGTTTTTGGTTTACTTTATTGGTAAATACTATTTACTAAGTACTAAATATATAGTGTCTCTTAGTTTTTACAGTCTTACTGATGTATAATGTAAAATTTTAATCAGCTGATCTATTATTTATATTTATATTTCTGCGTAGTAGTACCTACATTTATATACTCATGAGCTAAATAAACTTTATTGATATTTTTTTTGTTTTTTAGGTATGAAAACAAGATTTGCCGATTATTTGATAGACAAATTTTTAATTAATGCTGCAGTCTTCCACCCACGTTTTAAAAAATAATGGATTAAAAATGATATAAAATAATTGGCCCCAGAATATTTAAAAAGTGTCTGTTATGACTTACATACTAGTGATAATGACAATAATGATGTAGAAGGTAACCGAATGAATGATAATTTATCTACTTTTTTTACCTGGTCACAAAATTCCCGAGAGGAAAAATCAACAGTTAGTGATGAAATAGATATAGATATTTGGGCACATCTCCAACAAAGAATTTAGAATGTTTGCATAATTTACCCACTCTCAAAAAAGTAATATTGGTTGAAAACTTCTTGTACTATTAGTAGTAATATTACAAAAACATTTGTACTTAGTTTTCAGTTATTTGTGAAGTACAACATTCCACTACCTAGCAGTGCATCAGTAGAGAGAGTTTTTAGTTTTGGTGGTGCAACAATAACAAAAAAAAGATCAAATATGATGGATCAGCATTTTGAACAAATAATGTTCTTAAAATGCAACACTCAAATGTTTGATTAATATAATATATTATGAATGATTCAGAATTAAATTGATTTTTTTGTTTTGTATTTGAAAATTATTTCAAATACTTCACTATAGATAGTATTTGGGTGGTATTTTAAATACTTTATTTTATAAGTATTTGAGTAATTACTCAAATACTTTTTAAAAGTATTTTTTACAACACTGATCAGTATACATAAACCTAATCTTGTCCCCATATAGTGTCTCTGAAACACATTATAGTGATAGTCATACATTTTTGTCTTGGAAACATCGAGCACACAAAATTCTAAACAAAATATAGAAAATGTGTTAGTAAATGTTGAACATAAAAATGTTAAGTATATTTACCGATATAAATAGGTTTATCAAATTTAATAATCTTGTTCTCTTGATTGACTGCGTTAGGTTATCAGTTATAACTGTAATTGGTACAGCGTTTAAAAGTGGACTTATAAATTAACTTCTTGTATAGCCCTTGGTATAGCCCATTGTAGGTAAACAAGGGACAAAATAATAATAAAAAAGATCACAATATACTATGTAATATTGTGTAGGTTTTTTTATTTGTTAAAAATCCACGAATTTCTTTTTGAAGTCTATAAAATTAATATAGTATTTTGTGGTTTTCAGTTCAAATGGGTCTTCTGTTCATTTTTATACCAATTTTTTAGAGCCATGCCAGCACATTAACAATATTCTTGTGGATTTAGTTTTAGGAGACAAAATCCGGATAACATATATGATAAATGTTATTATTTGTACGAAGAAAAGTGTCAAGCTGAAGACTGCTTAAATATCATTAAAATATAATGTTGGTATCTGCTGTATAAAAATTAATACTGTTTTGTAATGGTGTTAAGTTAATGTATTAGATGGTGCTGATCCAATACAGCTAAATAAAAAAGTCCAAGCACTGCAAGTACTTTTAAATTTACCAATAGCTAAAATGTAGAAATATTTTATTTATTGTTTATTTACATGTTTATCTAAATAAAGGTGACAAAACAGATCAAACGGTATGAGACAGGTATTAAACTTCTTATAAAAAAAAAACATTGATAATTTCTACTTATTATCATGCATTTACATTAGAGTCAATTACTGTTGTTCATAAAATATACCAACAAATTTTTGGTTTTATTTTCTATAAGCCAAGTATTCAAACGTCATTTGTTTTTTTTTTTTGGAAATATTTGTCTTCATGTTACATAAAGGTATTCATCTCGTTAATAACAATTAACTTCAGCTACTTTTGACAGTTGATGTATAAAAACTTACTTTTTTATAAAACTAAATTATACAATAATCCCACAAATAAATAAATACATATTACAAATAACACATTATAGTTAAAACGTTAAGACTAAAAACAATATTGCTAGAATGCTAGATGCCGGACGTAAAAATTGACTCGCGACAGTAGTGTATCTAAAACTCTAAATGGCCTATACTCAGAGTGCCGTGTTCTGCATTGTATAGATTTAAACACTCCCAATAATATTCTGTTTTGGAATTTGAAATAAAAAATGTATCGTGTAATCCAAAGAAGTCAAAAACTCGAAAACTGATGACAACATATTATATTATAATAGGTACCTATCATCTATGGCAAAAGCTGATCGTCGTCACTCGCCGGAGACGATTCGCAATTCTAATAATTTCATTGAACAAAAGAGAAATGTGTATGGCAACTAAGAACATTTACTCACTTATTTCATTCAACTCAAGTAATTTGTATAAAAAATCTCGATTTTTTTCAATTTGGATTTCGATGAAGGAAGAAGTTCCTCGATATGGTGTCTGCACTCAAGATATGGCGCCTTGCAGCTATGTATTTGGTACCCGGACAGTCGATGTATACGTAAGTTTGATTAGTGATTACTTATTCTTTTGGGGCTTAAATATTTTACTTTTTAGTTTCAAAATTAAAATTTTATTTGCTACCCGTGTGAAGTAGGGGCATATTTTTTGTTCCCGAGCGCGCAACACAAAAAAATACGGTATCACAAACGACGACGGCATATCCATATCTAGGTCGCAGAATAATAACATATTTATAAAATTAAATAGATATAAATAGTGTTGTACATACTAGTCATATTACAGTAGTACACGGGAGTTTTTATGTCCTGCAAAATTCAACAACTTTTATTTTTAGTTTATATAAATGTTAAGTAATATATGAATATTACTATGCCGTCTGCTTGTGGTCGAACCGCGAATTAAAGTGAAGCCGTCGTACATCAAACATCAAATTATGTTATAAAGCTGGGAAAGTCGCTCTGCCGATTATTGAATATCCGTCGGAAATTAAATAAGGTAATTTTAAAATTTAAATATTCTCGAATAGCTTAAAGTTTACCTAACCAATGCACTCAAAATGAATACATAAAATATTAATTATTAATTTCGTGCTCGACAGTAGGTATTCAGAGAAAAGATTTAGGAACTTGAAATTTTACAAATTATGGTTGGTTAGTCGGTATACCGTAAATGTGATGTATTAGGCACTGAATACCTTTATGTTAAATCTAAAAAGTAGTAATCACATTTATTTACAATACAATTTTTATTTAATAACTCATGGAAAAATATGCTTGTGCTTCGAATATTTAAACACTACCTTTATTAATTATTAAATTAAAAATTAAAATAATAGGTACTTTATATATTTTTGTAATTTAAATTTTAAAATTATAAACTATTTTGGTTAGTGTTATACCTACTCATTTCATTATCTTAATGATCTAATCTCAAACACAGACCTCTTTGATATAAAAATTTGTTATATACCATATATCTATGGTTTTATCATATTGACGTAGTATAAATTATAATGCGATCCGTGGCGATTTTCTAAGTAGTTGCAAAGACGCAATCGATCTAAAATTTCAGTTGGCAAAGCAAAACTTAAGTTCAGTCATAGGTATCTGATTTATTACGCAGTGCACACACAATAATCAAGGATTCCGCCGAAGCCCGAAAGCGTCTATATTTAAAGTAATTAATTTTGGTTTCATATTTTTTTAGTGGTCAAATTTACTTTTTATACTTCAAATAAAAATTTAATTTCATGAAATATGCTACCCCTATGTAGACACATTTTTTATTTCTGAGAGTAAATGCATTCAATACGAGAGATCGAGTAATATACAAACGCCGCTCGTCGTCGTCTTTTTTCTGTTCCCTGATCGTAAGGTAATTTAAAGTTATTTCAATGTTAACCCTTAAACTTCTTTAAGATTTCGAGCGGAGCGATGAGTGTATTGATTTTACAATTTATTTTTTAAATTTTTTTTGTTCCTGTCTTTAAGTTATTTTGGGAGAGTAAAAGTGCTTCGATTTTCTTCAACAGCATCTTTTCTGTTAGAAATATAAATAGTATTGGTAGTTCGAGGGGTCCAAATAAAAAATTCTCTATATAGTTTTCAAAAGCGGCAGGAAAAACAAACAAAAAATTAAGGAAAAAAGTGAATTTTTACAGAAACCCGTTTTCGACCAAATCGATTTTGGTTTTATTGATGTAACTCTAAAAAAAAAAAAATACCGTGGATATACATGAAATTTTTACTGAATATTTACTACGGCGTTTTCTATAAACCATACAATTTTGACAACACATTTTTATAAGCGTTTGAATTTTGACAAAATTAGTATAAGTCACGAAAATGTGCAAAATATTTTGAGTTCGAAATTCATAAATATTTTTCGATTTATATCTAAGTTTTTAATACAAGATTCCTTATAAGTGAAAGTCAAATTAAATTTTTATGACCATTTGAAGTTGACATTTTGACAACATTGAATATTCACTCCATTTCTCATATAGTGATTTTCACTTATTTTTTTGTAACTGGAAATCCAATAATTGCAGATATTTGAAATTCACACCATTTGTTTATATTTTCAATTCATATACTTTTGATGTACTCATTTTGAGCTGTTTACAAACAATTTGAATTTTGAATTTTTTTAGTTTATTTAGTTTTTTTTTTATAAATTGTTAATAAAATTGTATTTGTTGGGCAAAAAAGCTTGAAAATTCAATAAAATGCTCTTGATAGATATTTACAATATTAGTTGAAAAATATTTAAATTTCATAGGCACGATTTTTTTAATGAGCATTCAAAGTTTAAATTTTAACAAAATCATTTGAAATGTACAAATAATTTTATAATTTAAAATTTTTGAAATATTCAACATTTATAGATTAGGGTTTGTTACGCAGTGTGAAATCAAGTGCTTTGAATCCCAAAACGATTTTATACGTTAGAACTTTAAATTTATTTTATAACAATATTATGCACATTTAGAAAAGACGGCCGAATACGCTCGTTACGCCGGTTACGTATACGCTGAAAATATTTGAACCCATGCGATATGATCGCCGAATAGAGTCTCTATCATATCTTTTACTATCCATACAATGATTATGTACGTACCGAACATTGTTGAAAATTCAAAACAAAGTTCCAAGCAAATAGGTTATTATGTTATTAAAAAATCAAAATAATAATATCACAGATTTGTTA